TGACAATGAAATCAGTATCACAGGCTCCTTGCTTGAAAGGCAGCTGTAAATTATCAACTTATAGTTTATACTTAATTTTCTTATGTCGATTATGTTAGTAGCTATAAGCTTATTGGAACACTCTTGAATCCGTTCCTGGAACCAACCAGTACTAAACAATGAGTGTAAAGTTTCTTGCTCACAGAAATAACAGCTTGCCCCTGACGGTGTTTGAACCCACACAGTCGGCAATCCGTGTATTATCGGTCCGAAGCAGCCACTGGCTTTTCTACTTCTCCTTTCTTTTCAGGTATACTGCACATTTAATAGGCTTTGTACAGAAACACATTTAAAAATATTTTGTTGATATTTTAGGCAATTTTTTCTTTGTTAAAGGACTGGTGCAACAATACAACAAGTCTGTTAATTCATTTTTAGGAATCTTCCCCAATTACTTATAAACAAGGGGAGGTTATAACTCTTCCTGTGAAGAGGAAGTTTGAGTGCATTGAACTGGATCCCAGCTTAGCTGCATTACTTGTACCAGTTGAAATAAGGCCAGGGTCAGCAATATCCATGGTGAATGCCTCTTTGGTTGTTAAGGACAACAAATATGTTCTTGAGGTAAGGTTTTTATGTTTGTTGAAAAAAAGTATTGTAGCGTAACTTCTAAACAACAAATATATTTGTAAGGTATACTTTTTTTCTCATCTTTGTTGGAAAAAAGTTAAGTGATTACTCCTTCACAAGATGTTCAAAGGTATGCTGCAAAATCATTATGATAATTTAAAAAACCTACAAATATGGTCTTTTGAACAAAACTGAAATTTCATGGCCATGAAAATAAATGAATTTGCAGTAGAATTTTGGAAACTTGGTCAAAGCATGATCAACCACATGTGTGGCAGTGTGGCCGAATGTTTTGTCAGTTAGATTAGATGACTTATATTTGTAAGAATATGGCATGGTCTAACTTAATATTTGAAGCAGAACATTATTCAGAACATTTTGGTTTCAGAAAAGGAAAAAAATAAATGATAAAAAGCTTATTTTGTTTGCATAACATACTTGTATAGCTAATTTATTTTTAATGCATCAGTTGAAGTTCCAGCCTCTCTCAGCCACTGCGACATTGGGGGGAATTGCATGAGCTTTTTAGTCCCCTACCGGTTTACCGGAGGGGACTTTAGGTTTACCCTCCGTCCGTCTGTCTGTCCGTCCGTCTGTCTGTCGGGTCTGTCTGTCAGTCCGTCAGTCAGTCCGTCCACAAAACTGGATCCCGCGATAACTTGAAAAGTACTGAAAATATTTTTATGAAACTTGATATATGGATAGATGGCAGTATGGAGATTATGCACGTCTTTTTCTTTTCTTTTTGTCCGTCTGTCTGTCAGTCCGTCAGTCCGTCCGTCCACAAAACTGGATCCCGCGATAACTTGAAAAGTACTGAAAATATTTTTATGAAACTTGATATATGGATAGATGGCAGTATGGAGATTATGCACGTCTTTTTCTTTTCTTCCTATGTTGAAAATTCTGGTTGCTATGGCAACAAATATGCTTAAAATATGGCAAATTTTAGACATAAACTGGATCCAGTGATAACGCAAAAAGTACTGGAAATATTTTTATGAAACTTGATATATGGATAGATGGCAGTCTGGAGATTATGCACGTCTTTTTCTTTTCTTCCTATGTTGAAAATTCTGGTTGCTATGGCAACAAATAGACTGAAAATATGGCAAATTTTACACATTAACTGGATCCTGTGTTAACGCAAAAAGTAATAGAAATATTTTTATGAAACTTGTAATATGGGTAGATGGCAGTCTGGAGATTATGCACGTTTTTTTCTTTTCTTCCTATGTTGAAAATTCTGGTTGCTATGGCAACACATAGACTGAAAATATGGCAAATTTTACACTTACACTGAATCCAGTGATAACTCAAAAAGTACTGGAAATATTTTTATGAAACTTGAAATATGGGTAGATGGCAGTCTTGAGATTATGCATGTCTTATCTGTTCTCTCTATTTTGAAAAAATATTGGTTGCCTTGGCAACAAATAGGCTTAAAACATGGCAAATATAACATTGTTTGTGATAAGTCAAAAAGAGCTGAAATTTTTTTATGAAATTGCATCTTTATTTCAAGAGTTATCTCCTCTTTAAGCATTTTGCTTTTAAAAATGTTATATTTTGGTAACAGGGATGTTTCAAATATTAACTTTAGAGTGTCCTTCAGTCCGTCTGTCTGTTCATAAAAACTGTTTCCTGTGATCACTTTTAAAGAACTTTTCCAACAAATTTACTTAAAATATAGAAAAATTGAAACGTTAGTGAATGGCCATTGGCCCTTCAGAATGTTGATGGGGTTCTAACCGGTAGGGGACTTATGGATTGCTTGCAATACTATGATAATTGCTTGTTACTTATTGCAGATCATCATTATTGTTTTATTTGGCTCGTAAATGATGTGTTAGCAAGGTAATGGTTGAATATTACTGTTTGAAATTTATTTTCAGCCATTGTCTGGTCCTGAAATGAAGAAAACGAGGACTGGGAACAAGCCAGTGAAACCCAAATCATATATATTTGGTAGTCTAAATACCAAAGTGTTTGTTGATTCACTGTCAAAGGTTTGTTTTCATTTATGTGATTTTACTTAAATAAAATTTAAGCATGTCTGTACCACCAATATAGAGATTTTTATTTTGTTATTGCAAAACTGTGCTATAGTTGCCAACCATATCGAGCCAAACTAAGTCCTCTTGCAACTTGCTGTGGGTTCAAATCTTAGTAGGACAGGGACTTTGGATTCTTTCATGTGAAAAAGCTATCTAGCTTGCTAACGGAACGTAGGTGATTCTACTCAGGTGCCTGTTCATGCCTGAAATAATGCATGGATGGGCACCTGAAATCTTCCTCCACCAGTAAAGCTGGAAAGTTGCCATATGACCTATACTGTGTTGGTGTGACATAAAACCAAACCGAAAAGAAAAAAAAAATCCTCTTGCATTTCAGTTCAAGACAATATATTTGATCATTTCTAGCTTCTTCATCACAAATTCCTAACAATTTAAATAATAAAAGTATGACAGAGTGCATGAACTATTCCTTCATACTTTAAATGGGTCTCAGTGTGTAAATTAGTCCATTTTTAAAACATGATGTTTAAAACATTTACAATGTTTTTTTAAATACACATACTATGTACAAATATTTAGAATTTTTAACCGTTATTGTTACAGCAAGGCATCACAGATATCAAACTGGAGGACAGCGATGATGGATCTATAATTCATCTGGTGTGTAATCATGTATATAATACGGCATATTTGTCATGTACAGTTTTGTTTGTCTATATTGACATTTATTTCATCCATAACCCCAGTTTCTACTTTTCAACAACTGTATGATTTTTTTCCCTTTGTAAGATTTTACAATAAATTCAAACTGTGTTAAGCAATACATTTCAGCAGCAATCAAAATATTTGTCTCCCAGAAATTTGTTGTGCGACATAGGTTTTACTGTATGTTTGTAACGTACAGCTTCGTTTTGCCTATTTTGACATTTATTTCATCTATAAGTCCATTAATTAGTACATACAGATCAACCTGTATATGTACAGTTTCGTTTGTCTATACAGAGCTGACCTTTGTAGAGCAATCACCTCTCTACAACAACTGTATGATTTTTTCCCAATGTAAGATTTTATAGTGAATTCAAACTATGTAAAGCAACACATCTTTGCAACAACTACAATCTCCAAAAGGGTGGTTGCTATACAGAGGTTGTGTTGTATTTATGAAGAAATATTTATTACCAGAATGAACTCCCATGACATGCCATGATTAACAAGTAAAACATGACATTTTCAATAATTCTGGTATGAAATCTGTCAGTTGATTATATTATTGAGAATTCATCCAGAAATAGAATAATACAGTAATCTTATTGCTATGTTGTTTTTCAGCCCAATGATGACACACTTATACAAGTGGAGCAAGGGTCTACACATATCATGTGTGGTGGAGATGAAACAGTGAGGATTAAGATTAGAGACACTTTATTACAGTGCTTACAAAAATTATAACCCAGATAAACAATGACAGTTATTGAAAGGTTGAAATGTTCACAGGGCTTACATTTATTGTAAAGGTTGAAATCAGAAAATTAAATTATGCAATGTGATATAGCCAGGACATAAAAGTGAAGCTGTGGTGCTGAGATGTGGGGCTAGGAAAGACCTTTGTAACATAAATAGAACTTGCTTTCCTAGGTGCAGCTTCTATCAATAAAATGTGAAAATTGCCTGTATGTTTTGGTTTTGAAATAATCCTTTATTTTTTTTCTCAACTTAATTTATATATCATTGTACATTTGTAAATATTTATACACATTTTGCTTGTTTTTTTAAAGCTTGTTTTTTTAAAGTGGTGACTGTTATAGAAATATAAGAAGGAAATGGTGGGCTTTCGATGACAGTGAGAATCCTTCTTAAAGTCAAACAAACAAACATACCACAAGTCTGTGCTTATACACTATATTCCTCTCTCGATTTGTGTCCCCCCAATAGTATTTTTCTTAAGCTTGCATAAGGGCCAGGGTAACCATACTTGAGTCGGTACCATGTTTCTAAATTATAGTTAGCCTCTAGCTAAAAGGTCCATGGTTCAGTCCAAATTCCTATTTGTACCTATTTGCAAGCTAATGGTAGGTTGAATCTATCCAAGTGCCCAGCTTGTGCCTCAAATAATGCACAAAATGGCATCCGGACGTCTTCCCCAACCAGTAAAAGAAAGACTTGACTTTACAGATGTGAAAAACCAAACAGATTGCAAAGTCACCTCAGAGTAATAAATGAAATAAAGATAGAAATTATGATTTAACAAGGGGAAGATATCATTATCAGAAAGAAGTTTAATCTTTTCTTAATTTTACTTTCATCACAGATACATCATACATATATAAAACAGACATACATAGAATATTGGCATTGAAGCTTATCTGAAAAAGAACTAAGAATACTTTAACTATTTACCAACTATATAGCATACTTTTGACATGAACAGCAGAATATTTTATCAAATACCAAGCCCCTGGCAACAATCGTCCCTATTTCAATTGTCTTTCATTTTGAGGATCTTGATTAACTTTTTGTAATACGCCTTGTCATTGGCTGAATTCGAATTTACATTTTGAAATTGACCAATGATAAGGAAGGACTCAGTCTTTTACACAATGAGATCATTTCCATGCAGTTTACTTCAATGAGATTTTTCCATAGAATTGCTGGCAAGAAGATCATTTAAGATGTCCGGTCATTTTGAGAATTTCTGCTGCGAGCGATGATAATGAAACATCTGCATGGGAACTGAAAACAAAAAATATGTTTACATATTTTCAATGGTAAAACTTTGTATTTAAAAAAAAAAAGAAAAAAAAATATTTTTTTTAGTTTGAAAAGATTAAAATTTATGATTCAATTACCAAATTCTCTTAGCTATTAGTAATGTAGGCCCTGCCTATATTGGTATTGATGTTACTAGCATTTAGAGTTATTTTCAGCGATTTTTCACCTTATAAAACAGAGGCCTATAAAAGGCCTCTTCCCAATCACAATTATCTTCAAAATCATGCAGTTTTCCCAAAAATCGAAACTTAACACCAGCTTTTTTTACTTCCCAAAGTTGCAATAAGAGTGATAATTTTTCCCAAAATCAAATGGCCAAGGCCTCTTTTCAATTTAGTGAGAAAGATTTTACCACAAAATCTTTTGCTTTAGTATCTGTGTTTTTTTAAGGAATTAACACAGAGTAAACTAACCTTGCTGTTTTTACTAGGCTTGTTATTGTGTTGGCGAGACCTTCTCCGTTACTCTTCATCGATTCCCTATGAGACTTGTCCGTACTCACCTGAAAAAGTAATCTTAATTTGAATTTTAATGTATACTAAGTGTGTAAAAAGTGAAATATTGCAAAATAAAAGTTTTAAAGTATCCTTTTGGACTGCACAGATATGATTTCTGCCCAGGCTTCATACTGGTGGCAGAGGTAAATAATTGCTGTAGTTGTACAGAGAGACTATCAGAACAACATAGCAAAACATGCTCACAATTAAACTGTAAAAATCATCTGATTTTCCAGCCGCATTACAGGGGTAAACTTGTGATGAAAAAATACAAGACTAGACAATCTTTATGACAGGGTACAAAATTAGGGTGGTTCTCTTCATAAAAGCAATTAATTTAAACGAAATTGCAGATGGACAAAATGATGCATTGAAGCATTGACAGTCATCTCCATTGCAGTTAATCAGTTAATATAAGTATAAATTACTATGAAGTAAAAACTACAATATAATTAAGAAAACATACAAGTCTTTTAATTATCCTTAACAAAACTTTCTGTTTCTTGGCATCAGCTTTCTTTAGAGCTTTGCTGTAGTAATCCTGTAATTAAACATTGAAAAATAGTAAAGTATAGCAAACATTTTATGTGTACGAAGTCATTTGAGAGTTTGTAACTTTTTCTTTAACCGATCTAAAGTACAATTCCAGTTCACTTGATAATTAATAGGGAGAGCATTGGATTTGTTATTCAGGTATCTCTGGTTCGATTCTCAGGCAAAGCAAAATTTCTTTGTGAAAATTGAACTTGAACATTGTGTCTAATGGTCATTTGTCTCTCACGGCTATTTTTAGAAATCATGCCGAATCTGTTGTCGATCACTTGTTGAGAAATTGCTTTATAAATACTGGTTAGTTATCCAGGAAAGTCAATTTGAAGGACTGACCACTGCAGTATGACCAAAAATGTGTTAAAATTGGCATATAAACCAAGAAATGAAACACTTGACTATAGTTTCAGCATAGATAGTCAAGTCACCTTGCAGTTTTAAATGATTTTATAAGATGACTTATAGAATTAGCCATAGTGCCTGATTTAGAACTAAAATAGTAAGCAAGAGGGCCATGATGGCCCTGAGGTCGCTCACCTGTATAAAGGCCCCTGGAGCAGGGCCAGTTTAAACCCCAGGGCTTTTATTTGAACAAACTTAGAAGACACCCATTAGAAGATGTTTCATGATGTTAAGTTTTTACTACACACATATAATGAAAAACAATGACCTCTGCCCCCCCCATCCCCCCCCCCTGGCAGGGCCAATTTTTACCCAAGGGCTTTTATTTGAACACACTTGGTAGACACCCATAAGAAGATGTTTCGTGCTTAACATCTAAGCTCTAGCTCATTGGGTTTTTTAAAAGACGATTTTTAAAGTTTTTATTATACACATTTAGTTAAAAACAATGACACCCCTGGGGCGGGGCCAGTTTTGACCCAAGGGCTTTTATTTGAACAAATTTTGTAGACACTTACTAGAAGATGTGTCATGCTTAATATCTAAACTCTAGCTATTTGGATTTTTTCAAAGAAGATTTTTAAGTTTTTGCTATACACATATAAAAAAAATAAATGAACCCTGGGGCGGGGCCAATTGTGACCCCAGGGCTTTTATTTGAACAAACTTTGTAGACGCTCACTAGAAGATGTTTCATGCTTAATATCTAAACTCTAGCTATTTGGGTTTTTTCAAAGAAGATTTTTTTAAGTTTTTGCTTTACACATATAAGAAAAATCAATGACCAACGGGGCGGGGCCAATTTTGACCCCAGGGCTTTTATTTGAACAAACTTGGTAGACACTCATTAGAAGATGTTTCATGCTAAATATCTTAGCTCTAGCTCTTTGGGTTCTTTAAAAGAAGATTTTTTAAGGTTTTACTATATGCATATAGGGAAAATCAATGACCCCCTGGGGCGGGGCCAATTTTGACCCCAGGGCTTTTATTTGAACAAACTTGGTAGACACTCACTAGAAGATGTTTCATGCCAAAAATCTAAGCTCTAGCTCTTTGGGTTTTTTAAAAGAAGATATTTAAAGTTTTTTCTTTCGGTTGCCATGGCAACCAGAGTTCTGCATGGAATTGCATTCTTTGAACAATTTTTAAAGGTGACCACCAAAGGAACATTCCTGTAAAGTTTGGATGAAATTGGCTTAGTGGTTTATGAGAAGATGTCATTTAAAGTAAAAGTTTATGGACGGACGCCGGACAAAAGCGATCACAAAAGCTCACCCTGTCACTTTGTGACAGGTGAGCTAAAAACTATAATAATGTTCCTTTTTAACCTTTAGAAACATAAATATATATACAACTTTGACTTGAAAAATATTTTGAACATGATAATTATTAACATGAGCTATGATAAAATCTTCTCACCATATTTTCTGGACTCATAGCCTCCTTGTGTTCCCCACCAAACAACTGTACCAACAATGACAGACATTTACATGCTGGGTCGTGAATGTCCCCATCCTCGTGTGTTAACTGTAAAACATTTCAAATGTTACATAAATTTTAGTTAAAATCATCATACCAATAGTTAGCTAACTTTTACCACACTAAATATCTTAAATGCACTTGTCCATATTTTAATGTGGACAAAACCATTCATCATTTTCGAGGGAAAATTTACTGAAAAGTGAACAGTGTAGACCATGATCTAACTGCACAGATGTGGTGGCTGATCTTTGTCTGCACTGAATGCATAAGTAAACTCAGTTGCAAGGCTAATGCCATCATAAGGGTATGTCAATTTTACAAATTTAGCAGAGTTACTGTCAAGGTTTTTATTATAAACAGATTGGCGATACATATCATCATTCAAAAAGCTGTTAAAATCTGTTGTATTTTTAGCCAGTAGATTAAAATATCACTAGCCAAATTGGTTGTTTAAGTTAGCACATTTGTTGCCTCAGACAATAAGAGGGCCATGATGGCCCTGAGGTCGCTCACCTACCCCGGGCCAATTTTTACCCAAGGGCTTTTATTTGTTTATTTGAACAGACTTGGTAGACACCCATAAGAAGATGTTTCATGCTAAACATCTAAGTTCTAGCTCATTGGCTTTTTTAAAAGAAGATTTTTAAAGTTTTTACTCTACACATATAGTTAAAAACAATGTCACCCCTGGGGCAGGGCCAGTTTTGACCCCCGGGTGTTTATTTGAACAAACTTTGTAGATATTTACTAAAAGATGTTTCATGCTTAATATCTAAACTCTAGCTATTTGGGTTTTTCCAAAGAAGATTTTTAAGTTTTTGCTATACACATATAAGGAAAATCAATGACCCCCCCCCCCCCGGGCGGAGCCAGTTTTGACCCCAGGGCTTTTATTTGAACATACTTGGTAGACACCCATTAGAACATGTTTCATGCTAAATATCTAAGCTCTAGCTCTTTGAGTTCTTTAAAAGAAGATTTTTTAAGTTTTTACTATATGCATACAGGGAAAATCAATGACCCCCTGGGGCGGGGCCAATTTTGACCCCAGAGCTTTTATTTGAACAAACTTGGTAGACACTCATTAGAAGATGTTTCATGCTAAATATCTTAGCTCTAGCTCTTTGGGTTCTTTAAAAGAAGATTTTTTAAGTTTTTACTATATGCATATAGGGAAAATCTATGACCCCCTGGGGCAGGGTCAATTTTGACCCCAGGGCTTTTATTTCAACAAACTTGGTAGACATTCACTAGAAGATGTTTCATGCCAATAATCTAAGCTCTAGCTCTTATGGTTCTTTAAAAGAAAATTTTTTTAATTTTTTTTTCCATATGCATATAGGGAAAATCAATGACCCCCAGGGCGGGGCCAATTTTGACCCCAGGGCTTTAATTTGAACAAAATTGGTAGACCCTCACTAGAAGATGTTTCATGCTTAATATCTTAGCTCTAGCTCTTTGGGTTCTTTAAGAGAAGATTTTTTAAGTTTTTACTATATGCATATTGGGAAAATCAATGACCCCCTGGGTCGGGGCCAATTTTGACCCCAGGGCTTTTATTTGAACAAACTTGGTAGACATTCACTAGAAGATGTTTCATGCCAAATATCTAAGCTCTAGCTCTTACGGTTCTTTAAAAGAAGATTTTTTAAGTTTTAACTATATGCATATAGGGAAAATCAATGACCCCCAGGGGCGGGGTCAATTTTGACCCCAGGGCTTTTATTTGAACAAACTTGGTAGACACTCACTAGAAGATGTTTCATGCCAAATATCTAAGCTCTAGCTCTTATGGTTTTTTAAAAGAAGATATTTAAAGTTTTTTCTTTTGGTTGCCATGGCAACCAGAGTTCTGCATGGAATTAAATTCTTTGAACAATTTTTAAAGGTGACCACCAAAGGAACATTCCTGTGAAGTTTGGATGAAATTGGCTCAGTGGTTTATGAGGAGATGTCATTTAAAACAAAAGTTTACGCACGGATGGACGGAGGGATGACGGACGGACGAAAAGCGATCACAAAAGCTCACCCTGTAACTTTGTGACAGGTGAGCTAAAAATGGAATCCCTGTTAAAGTTACAAAAGCATCATAGACAAATCACAATGACAATAATGACTATTTTAAGGGGAGGAAAAAGTACAAAATAACATGTAAGCAATGGTAAAAAAGATGTTAAAGTATACCAGTTGTGTAAGTAAGCTTGTTAGATCTGTCAGAGCTTTGTTCTGTAACAGTAAATGCTCAGCATCTTCTGTATCCTTGCTGGCAGCCTCTCCACCTGCTTTCTTAGCCTGTAACATATCAATATATACACTTTGTATTAAATATTTGTCAGGATTTAAAGTGTCTGCAGCAAAAATATTGTTTGAGTTCTGAAGAAGAATACATCCAAAATTCCAGTATAAAAGAAATCTGTTTGTTAGTATATTGCCTTAAAACCCAATGGCGTATGAAGGAAACCATTGCTAAACGGTTTAAACATTTCATTAAATAGAAATAAAATGTTCTGTCCTGGGACATTCTTTTTCTCTTTTTCCGTACAATATTCATGTGTATTAAATAACAGAGACATTATATGTTTACAACTCTTTCCAGAATTGACCATAAGATTATTACACCAATACAATTTTACTGTTGATAAATTTCATAAAAATATTTCAATAGATACAGCTTTATACCCTTTAAGTCACATGACTTTGTAAAGGTCAAAGTAGAAGCCAATGCCTATTACTTTACTTTCCTAATCTCTTGTCTTTGAACATTCAATGTAATAACAAGCAAAATGCAAAAAGAGTTCATCATTAAAAATGAGGTAAATTAAAAAATGATGTAATTTTGCTTATTCATTCTGCTCTTTTTCAAAGTCCCAGACAAATAAAATTCTTATTGAGGCAGTACTTTTTGATATTCCACTAGCCAAAACAGTCTAAAGTTTCAACAAATAAGACACACACTGCAAGTACTTTTCTTATTGGCAACATAAAATGAAAATTACAAATCTCATAAAAGTAACAGCAAAATCACATAAAACATGATCTATGACTAGGGGAAGAGGTAAACAAGAGGCCCAAGTGGACTTATGTCACTAATCTAAGAAAATGAAAAAGGATTTAAAAAGTTATATAATAGTGCACTAGAGGCATGATTTAGCCAGATAGACTATATTCAAGTGTATTAAAAGTGTAAAAATTTAAAGGCAGATTGTCTATATTCAAATGTGTTAAAAGTGTAAACATATAAAGTGAAGAAAGGGAAATAATAAAGTACAGATTCAGTATAGTGCAGTCATATAATAGTTGCAATAATCTACTGTTCCTGATATCTTTAACAGAACTAAATCCCATCTCTTCAAAAAACTGCTAACTTCTCCACATCTACAAGTGAATCAGAAGTGCAGGAAAAAGTTGGACTCACCATATTTACTAACAAAATAGTTATCTTTCCTTCAATTTCATAGATTATAGCTTACTCTTTGTCTTATTAATAGGATCATTAAAGTATTTTGAAGAAAACCAAGCTGGTCAAAGCAAAACACTGCTTATTTAAGTGCAAAAATTAGACCTAGCCTTATATGTCACCTGTCTTATGGTTGAGTAAGTGCAGTATTTACTCGCCCATAAGTCAGGTCAAACCCAATCTCTTGATGTTAAACTTCTGCTACTAAGCTATTGTTTTAGGAACAAATTTTATGACATATTATAGAGGAAGAAGCTAAAAATAAAATATGTAAGACAGGTGAAAGGGGCTTATGGTTTAAAGGTTGTTTTAATTTGGGAAAGATGAGGAAAAGATAAAATATGTAAGACAGGTGTAAGGGGCTGGTGGTTTAAAGTTTGTTTTATGTGGGAAAGATTAGGATACTTACACAGATGTTTGATACATGGAAAAGTGCAACATCAATTCAAAATCTATACAATTATAAAGTTGTATGATATCGTATAGAGGAAAAATTATACAGATGTTCTAGCCAATCTATACAGTATAAAACAGCTCCCACTTTTGTGTTAAAATACACATGACTGCACTGACAATTATCTTTTAAAATAAAGACTTCTTAGTTTTCAGACACTTACCGGTATTTTACAAACAAAAAATTATAGAACTGAATTATTTTCTAAGCTTCTTATTATCACGAAATTGTTAAAAATACTATTTTTATCACATGAAGATGAAAAACTTTAAGCAAACATGTTATGATAAAATATTTTACTCAAAAAACCAATCGTTCTATGAAAGCTGCTTTATACAATTCAAAGTTATAAAGTGCAATGGGAGATCACTCCAAACTAGACAAACCTGCTGACCGACCTGTAGAGCCTTACGAACAAAGTCTGACACATATTTTAACAGACCATGAAGAGTTTCGAGTAACGTCTGTAGCATGGACAAAACTACTTTACTTTCAACACCACTGTTGTCTTCTCCTTCGAAACAAGCTGCCGATACCTCGAAAAATATCGTAGTAAAGTAGTCAATTAGACCTGAAAGACAAATTACTTCTTTGTTATTATTGTTTAAAGCCATATCCATACCTAATGGTGTAAATTTAAATTGCAGCAATTGGCACAACTGGTGGAGGAAATCCTTAAGATTTGCTACAAGCATTATTTCAGGCATGAGTGGCTCCTGAATAAAACCACCAACCTTCAATATGCTTATTTATAGCTTTCTCAATTAAAAGGAGCCAAAGTCCAAAGTCCCTGATAAGATTTGAACCCACAAGAATGAGGGGCATGTAGTTCAAATTCAGAAATTCTAACCACTTGGCCACTAAAGCCCTAAATCTTCATAACATGATGGTGTAATGTAAAATATCAATGCTAAAAGAAACCCCTATATTTCTATAGCGCGCCAGTAACAAACTGAATAATAGTGTTACAAATCCTATAGACCTGTAATTATATACCTATTAACTTTAATATTTCATACCTTGTTCATATTCACTTTAATATTTCATACCTTGTTCATATTCACTTTAATATTTTATACCTTGTTCATATTCACTTTAATATTATATACCTTGTTCATATTAACTTTAATATTTTATACCTTGTTCATATTCACTTTAATATTTTATACCTTGTTCATATTCACTTTAATATTTTATACCTTGTTCATATTCACTTTAATATTTTATACCTTGTTCATATTCACTTTAATATTTTATACCTTGTTCATATTCACTTTAATATTTTATACCTTGTTCATATTCACTTTAATATTTCATACCTTGTTCATATTCACTTTAATATTTCATACCTTGTTCATATTCACTTTAATATTTCATACCTTGTTCATATTCACTTTAATATTTCATACCTTGTTCATATTCACTTTAATATTTTATACCTTGTTCATATAACTCCTTCATGTTCGTTTCTTTATGACTGACGAGACAGTTCAATATACCAGCTATACTCTGCATGGCGCTGCTCATTGGATTGTTCTGGTGATCCTATAAAATAGTTCAAGGTCATAAGGTCGAGATTTTTATATAACCTTTTGTCTGCTTGGTTTTATGGTACACCAATGCAATTAAGGTCATTTTATACCCTTTTAATACCCTGCTAGAGCTGAGTGATTAGTCTTTGCTATAAGTATAGAGCCAGGCCAGAGTGCACACCTGTGTAGTGGTACCAGCCCTATACCTGTTGGTTAACTTAAAATAATTTTTCCAAAACTAGGTCAATCCACAAATGTACGATACAATGAAATTTCATTCTGTCTACTGTAAGATTATTTTGCATTGCATTACTTGTTTTTTACTTTTTACAAAAAAATAGACAATCCATGAATTAAAAACACGCAACAATTTCTTTATTACAAAACCACAAATTTTTTGCCCATGAAATTAAGCAAATTCACAGTAACCCCTAACAACACTTCACATGACATTGGGACATAAAGAAAAATGGTGTTGATTTTATGACAGGGTCTAGCTAAGGACACCCGACAATAATATTGTATGCTGTGTTTATGCCATTTAAATACCAAGTTGAACCTATTTCTTTATTTAGAAGGATATTTGTTTTGTCAGAGCTATTTAGATTTACCAAAAGAAATTGACCAATTGTGAAGAATAATTAAATTTTGTTTTGTACTGGACATCAAAAATCTCTTACAACATACATACATTCATATTTCATAACTTACCAGTAAAACTTGAAATATCACAGATACAAGGCCTTGCTGTTGAAATTGTTTTATGAATGCAGAATTAGATTCTAGTAAGGCAAGTAACAACTTGAGACCGTAGTAAGGTAGTGGGTCCTGGTCTAGCAATATCTGTTCATAACTGAAATATAAATGTACATGTAGTTTTATAAATATACAAGAGCTATTGGAGGACAGCGTGCTCAACTATTCTGTGTGCTTGATAGTAAAATAGGAGCCTGAATAATGTAGAATTATTGAGGTATCAACGCAATCCCTTCTGCAGTATTGGAGATACCAAATTGCATGTAAAGACTTGTCAGTCAAGCTTAAAATGACAGTTATTATGTTGGTCATATGGAAATAAAAGTTATTATAACACTGCAAACTTATAACATAAACATTCATAAGAAAATTGTGGCATTTATATAATGTATATGCACAGATCTTAGTGTTCCTCCTATGCAATATTTCCTGCACTAGACGGTATATTAGTAGAACAGCTATTAGCTAACCAAAGGAACAAGGTAAACTTTGCAATACTTCAAAGTCAATGAAATTGTGGCACTTTTGACAAACTAGGTGAATCAATACAGTTAATAATGAAAGCCAATATGGCCAAAAAACTTGGTCATATTTGAAATTTTACTGTGATGTTCCTTTCTCTTTATATTTCATGCATAAACTAGGTAAAATGTAGGAAAACATACTGTGGGAATAACTTCTCTCCTATAATGATATGTAATCTCTTTGTGTCCACCTTGCCATTGGTTGCCACGGCATCCTGTGTCAGGAATACTGTCGCCATCTCAGAGAACAAGCTTAGTGATAGAGCACGGGTGTCACCTGTAATAATAGTTCACAATAGTTTATTAAAACATATCTGCTGCTTTCACCTGTCATAAACATTCACAATACTTTAATCTTAACATATCTATTTACATACATGCCCAATTGTCCGGAATATTTGAAACTGTCCCGGCAATCAGGTGACTGTCCAAGATTTTTATGATGAAGCCTGAAGCTTAATATACATTCTATTTTCTGGAATTAAACCCAAAATGGCAGGTAGGACCTACAAACATATTTTAGGTGGAGTTCAACAGCTAGCAGCCAACAGAACTTTATATTACAAGTAATCCCCGACTTGCAAGAATTATAACATCCAAGCCAACTGGGTACTGTTGTATAACTAGCCAGATAGTTAAATGTTAATATCTGAGGAAAGTATATACACAGGGAATTGCTCATGTTCCTGTATATATCACATGATCATTAAATTTTGCTTATAATACCTGTTTAAGTCACTTGGTAAGTAATCTATTAAAAATATACAACCTCTGCAAAGCAACACCCTTTTAGAGACAAAGCTTTTAGTTGCTGCTAAGAGGTGTTGTTCTAGGACAGTTAAACTTATTGTAAATGTTAACTTTTACAAGAAACAATACTGCTGAGTTATTGTTAAAGAGGTACTATAATTGCTAACAGAGGGTTGCTCCTGTTGTGAAGAGGTAACTTCTCTGCAGAGGGTCACTCTGCAAAGATTATAATGTACCGCTCAATCTGAAATTCTCTTAAAGTTTATCATGGGTATATTCTATACAGAATTGTCCTTACCATTTTTACTGACAACCAATGAAATTCATTGCAAGTTTATTAATCGTATACTTTATACAAAATTATCCTTACCATTCTGACTAACAACCAACTCCGCCATTATTGGAAGGATTGTCTCCATGACAACCACACCATGGTCCATGAGCAGTGTGGGATGCTGGGTAATACCTTCTAGAACTGACATCACTGTGTTTACAAACTCTGACACTGTTATTACACCTTTGAAAAAATCAAAACCAAGCAAGGGTTAAATACAAAACATTAAACTATATAAAGCAACATTACTTCTTTTTTAATGAAAATTAAGAAAATGTTCTTAAATGCTAACAAAAATACTGTCAAGGAAAAAATAAGACTGCTTTAAGCTAGTAATCAATAAAAAATCTTATGAGATAAGGAAAAAATAGCCGTTAAAAGGTAGACTGATAAAAATAGTTAATTCTGACATGTTTTCAAATATCATGAATTTCATCAAATTCCTCTTAAAACCTAGTCTCCTTCAATATCCAAATTTTGCAAAATAGCAAGAGTTTCTAGAGACATTTTTATTAAAATGTCAATTGCATGAAAGTTAATTGTTTAAAAAATCAAATTACTGAGTCACAGATCATTAATGAAAATTGAAAAGAAAAGCGAACAAAAATCTGGCTCTATTTAAATCTATAATCTAAAAAGCTCTCTAAAAGCTTGCTGACAATAGTACATAATTGAGCCGTGTCACGACAAAACCAACATAATGGTTTTGCGACCAGCATGGATCCAGACCAGCCTGCGCATCCGCGCAGTCTGATCAGGATCCATGCTGTTCACTTACAGACCCTATAACAAGTAAAGAAACTGATAGCAAACAGCATGGATCCTGATCAGACTGCGCGGATGCGCAGGCTGGTCTGGATCCATGCTGGTCGCAAAACCATTATGTTGGTTTTGTTGTGACGCGGCTCAATTATCATTGTGAAAGTAAAGTCTAGAATACAGAAATTTATCCTTTCAACTTTTAATATAAGACAAAAAGAAAAAGAGTTGTATTTATAAGTAACTGAGCTTAATGAAAGATTGAATGTATGAAATGACAGCTGTATGAAAAGTAAAATGTTTGAATTCATTAGAAACATATACAAGTAAACAACTGTTTTAAAATTGAAAAAAGCATAATAGTAATTTGATAAAATAAGGAATAGATGAACCTGGATGGATGGATGGTTGGATGGATGGATGGATAGATGGATGGATGATTTACAATAAGCACTGTTACATCTTGTATAAACTGTTGAAATGACTATGACAAAATAATGGCAAAATATATTCACAAATGATCAATACATAGTATATTAAGCTCTTGATAGAATAACAAATTCAGACAAGCTAAAAATTATAAATCTAGCTCTAAAATGAGATATAGAACTTCTTAGGGGGAAAATAAAGATATATACAGTATACATGTATATGATTAAAAAGTATTCAGCTGATGATATGCCCAATCATTGAAATGGCTAACAAGACGAGAGCTGTCCAGATCATAGTGTTCTCGACTATTCTCAGTGCTTGACAGTAAGAGAAGTGGCATAACTCTGTAAAACAAGGTAGCTCAGAGTTATATGGCCTGTATCCATCATGTAAGATAATCACAGTGAAGAAATATGTAAAGATTCAAGCCATTCATTTCAGTAGTTTTGGAAATATTTACTTGCATGCAAAACTCAAACCAAAGTGTGATGGCAACACCAGGGTGAGTAAAATAGCTTTCCCTATATTCTTTGAAAAGTTGAGACAAAATTGGACTTTGCTATAACTTCTTAAATACGTTTTTTTCTCTTTCTTTCATCACTGCACAAGGAACATTTATCAAGGTTGAATACATACAGTATACAAATATATACAAGTATAATGAGACGAAGTCAATCTATGCATAATAATAAGAAAAAACAAGCTCTGATTCACACAAACTATAAGTACTATATTTAAAACTTCTAAACAAAAAGCTCCATGATTTTTTACCTTTACCCTTCTCTGAAGAATACAGGAGTATCTTGTTAGTTAAAATATCTGAATGAAAATCTACTCATATCCCAAGTAATAAAATAACGAAAAAAAAATAAGATCTTTTATAACAAAAACAAAATTTATAAAAAATTGGTATTAGTTTATAATGTTACCTAGAACATAATTAAACATATTTAAGTATTTTTTCATTAACAAAAGCAGGCTAAACTTCATTTTAAAAACCATTCAAATTTAGCTTTAGATAATGCTTCAACTCATATGTATGTTAATACTAAAGTTATAAAAGGGATAAAATTGTCTTGTAACCTAAAATGCATTTAGGGTAATACAATAGTTAATTAAATCTATCTGCAACTACTAATTCTTTACACTAATGCATTCAATAGTATATTTTACATTTGTATTTGATTATTTGATTTTTCACTGCAGGTGTAATTGTAAACAAATAATCATATAAATTATGGCCAAGTGGTAAACACGTCAGACTAGTAATCTAAGGATTGCTGCCTGGCTTGATTCAAAACCTGTCAGGGGTAAACCGTTGTTTCCCATGAGCCAGAAACTTTACACTCACTTCTGCTGGCTGCGTGGGTTCAAACCCCATCACGGGCAAACCGTTGTTTCTGTAGGCAAGAATCTTTACACTCATTGCTTAGTACTGGTTGGTCCAGTAAACAGATTCACAAGTATCTCAAAAAGCTTATAGCTTCCAACACAACCTAACTGAAAATAAATTAATATAAACTAAACTAATCAAATAGTTCACACATACCATTAGATGCTTCAATATTTGTTTCACCATTCTCAATACGTTTAACGTGCCCTAGCAGTGAACCGAGACTTCGTACAAATTCCTCAGTGACTATCTTTGGACGGAATACCTGAAAACATGTAAAACCACATTAACTAACTTCACGTTTTTTGAAGACTTGCAGTCTCATCAAAACTGTTGTCATACATTCAATCTTCATTTTTTGTGGATCTTAATTAAGTCAAGCTGACACAGTATAGGTCACCTGGCTACTCTCTAGCTTTCCTGGTGAGGAATGACTTCTGGGGCTTAATTTTGTATTATTTTTAGGTACAACCACTGTCCTTCAGTAACCTTTGAGAATATCTTACATAAAAAGAATCAGAATTCTTTGGCAAGATTCAAACCAACAAGAGGGCCATGATGGCCCTGAGGGCGCTCACCTGTATATAGGCCCCCGGAGCGGGGCCAGTTTAAACCCCAGGGCTTTTATTTGAACAAACTTGGAAGACACCCATTTGAAGATGTTTCATGCTACAAATCTAACCTCTAGCTCATTGGGTTTTTTAAAAGAAGATTTTTTAAGTTTTTACTATACACATATAGTTAAAAACAATGACACCTCTGAGGCGGGGCCAGTTTTGACCCCAGGGCTATTATTGGAACAAACTTTGTAGACACTTACTAGAAGATGTTTCATGCTTAATATCTAAACTCTAGCTATTTGGGTTTTTTCAAAGAAGATTTTTAAGTTTTTGCCATGCACATATTTAGGAAAACCAATGACCCCCTGGGGCGGGGCCAATTTTGACCCCAGGGCTTTTATTTGAACAAACTTGGTAGACACCCATTACAACATGTTTCATGCTAAATATCTTAGCTCTAGCTCTTTGGGTTCTTTAAAAAAAGATTTTTTAAGTTTTTACTATATGCATATAGGGAAAATCAATGACCCCCTGGGGCTGGGCCAATTTTGACCCCAGGGCTTTTATTTAAACAATCTTGGTAGACACTCACCAGAAGATGTTTCATGCCAAATATCTAAGCTCTAGCTCTTTGGGTTTTTTCGAAGAAGATGTTTAAAGTTTTTTCTTTTGGTTGCCATGGCAACAAGAGTTCTGCATGGTATGGAATTCTTTGAACAACTTTGTTAAGGCTTCACACAAGGAACATCCCTGTGAAGTTTCATTATGATATGCCTTATGGTTTCAGAAGAGATGTCGTTTGAAAAGTGTGAACGGACAACGGAAAACGTACGACGGACGACAGACGACGGACGAAGAGTGATCCTAATAGCTCACCCTGAGCATATGCTCAGGTGAGCTAAAAAGCATAAAGGACAAGAATTCAAAACAAGCAACCTTACCTGCTCAGCTTCAATGCCTCATTTCAAGTTTCTATTGTCGTGAGAAAACCTCTTTGTGCATTAAAAAGGTCAGAGGCTGTATTCATAAAGCTTGTAACGGAAAAATTTTCGTCAGATTCTAAGATTTCAATTAAAATATGTAAGATTTCCCTTAGTTTTAAAGAATTTCCTTAGTTGCTTTACATAAAACTCCTTAACTTTAGCTGATTTTCCCTTAAATACAAAGGTATCCCATATGCTCCCTTAACTTTTATGGGAAAAAGTTAAGGGATAAAAATGAGAAAAAAATGGCTGACTAGCAGACGTACATTGTATGTAGAAAAATGGCCATTCCATAAGAATAAGCATGCTTGAATATTAAGCATATGCATGTAGTATAAAAACGAAAAGAGATACATGATCAAACATACCTGACTGGTTACAAGATGAAGGAAAATATGTACTAAAGGGAGGGAACTCTTGAGTTGTTTTGCCTGAACAGTGTTTGGATGTTTACGTCCGGCCACAGAATCTAATGCAGTCAGAACGTCACCTAATGAAAACAATAAAAAGTAGCAATATTTCCACATGATGAAATTAGTCTTTTTCACTATTTTGAAAATGTTGATTTAAAAACTGAATTTTACATGTAGAATAAATTCTTGTTCAATTGAACATTTTTGAATATTATGAATTACCGGTAAAGAAACTATGCTTGAAAGCCATCTAAATCTATAGTAGGTAAACATCCAATCAGTAAAAAAATATTAAAAGGTTTCACTGAGAATTTGAGTGATGTATCACTTGAACTTCTTTTTAAAAACTTTAAACTAAATATTGCTTGATGCTATAAATAACTTCTTTTTTTCTTTTTCTTTTTTTTAAATATTCTCACTAAGTTTCAAATTGCTTGGTTTTTATTACCCATTAAAGTGATCCAAGGCTATATTAAAATTATTTTAGTACACAATTATACAAAATAATCAACCCATAAAATAGAGAAAATAAGTATCCCTAAAGAAAGTCCAAAATGGCAAAATTGAAAATGATGCAGGCTTGGTTTGATTGAGCCTGTTCATGGACAGTACTATAACACAATGTGGCTGAAAATTAAGACTGAATCATTTTACAGGAGTCATTAAACAGAAACTGTACAAAATGGTATAGAATAATAAAAAAAAACAGTTTTTCTTTTTTTTTCAGAAAACAGTAAATTACCTATAATATTAGGGACTGAATCAGAGATGTAGTTGATAAGCAGATCAAGACATCTGTTCAAATATTCCATTTCTGCCGGGTCAACTTTCGTATCTCTCGGTGTTTGACGTCTGCTATCTCTCTCCAGATACATTACCAGTCTGTGTTACATGAAAAATCCATGCAGATAAAGAAAATATAAATTTGCATAATTTGTCACCTTAGGGGCCAGTTACCTTCTTATATAATTTGAGGTAACCCATGACTGTACTAAAGTGACAATTTGATTGTCACGGTTCTAATAGCTCAGTCGGTAGAGCTGCGGAACGGTATTCCGGGGAACCCGTGTTCTAGGCCTGGTCAGACTGCAGATTTTTCTCACTCTATGACATGATAATAATGTTAAACATAAATGATGTAGATTCTTGCAAGGTATCCCCCGACATAAAACAAATGTTCATTTCTGGAAACAATGTGTTATCTTATATCTATTGATCTCTTGATGTAACAAATATCTATTTCAATGTGCAACCAAGGTGTATAATTAATCAAGTAGTAAAAATCTTCACACATGTTTTTGTTTAATTGTCAATATTCAACATAGCTCTACTACCCTAAATATCAAGAGTAACTTTAAACTGAAAGCCTTTATTTTACATGATATTAAGCTGTAAATGAGTAAATTTCCTTGACAACTTTGAAAAACTGTACCATCACATTGTTTTAATATAAATTTCATAGTTTTAGTTCTTTTTTTGTTGTTTTTTTAAGTTTCAGCAAATGTTTGGTTTTAAGGTGCACCAACACAGTTTATGTCATATGGCGCTGAAACTGGAAAGATGATTTTTAAGCAACACCAGTGGTAAAACCACCTCACCTGCTTGAGTTAAGAGGTGCGTAGACTCCAGTAATTCGGACCCATTTAGTCTTCTCTTACGATCATGCAGGGATAAACAGTGGTTGCAATTCTGATGCCACAATCCTTAAAGGCAACCCCTCAGCCGCAAGGGGGATTCAACAAATGGAAACATATACTAACTTACTGGAGCATATAATGTTATGCAATTTAACAAATATGTACAAGCAATAAACATTACCTATACTGGCAACATGACAACAAGATATCATGGTTATTTTTAGTAAGTTCGTGTATCACAACAAAAGCTTTGCCTCGTATCACTGTAGATGGACTTTCTAACAATCGCAGTATCTTCTGCAGGAAATCCTGAAATGTATAAAAGTCTCCCATACAATATACAATTAAACAAATAATGTCAAAGGAAGGGATATGCTCAATCAAGAGAGTGGTTTATGTTTTTGTTTGTACGGTTATTTTCACGCTAATTTCAACACGTTTGTTCATCAGTGGTCTGTCCATCTAACTGGCTTTCCTGGATAACTTTAACAGTAATTTACAATTTCCCCACAAGCAACAGACAACTTATCTCACTGGATTTATGAATGTTAAAAATGTTACATTAATCAATGGTCAGGCATCTAATTCATTAGCCCAATATGAACTAGAAACAAGCAACAGACAACTTATCTCACTGGATTTATGAATCATCGTTAAAAGACAAATGATCATTAGATTAAATGTCTGAGATCAGATGTCACAGAGAATTTCTTCTTGCCCAATAATGAACCAGTGACCCTTGGATTACAAAATCTGATGCTCTCTCTATTAAGCTTTATTTACATAAAATGATATTTTTCTAGAAACAAGTTTTCACATTACATTAAGCATTTTAGAATTGTGTTGTTCCCTATTTCTTTTTTTTTTTTTTGTTGTTGTTTTAAAACTCACAAATACTGTGGAGGTCATATGGTAAGTCTAAGAAAAAGATCGCCAATGCCAATTTTGCATTTTTGATCATTTCAGGCAATGAATGGGCACCTGAATAGAACCAAAATATTGCCAATGTCTTACGGTGAGTAGAACAGCTTTCCGTATTATATAAATATCACCAAGGTTACAAAACCACACTAACCTTATCTTGTGTAAGTCTATTCAGGGAAGCTCCTGACACAATCAAAGCTCCGAACATGGTGACAATAGATTGTTGAATCTTTGTTATACCAAATGACAGTGCTGACAACAATGTTGATAAACCTACAGTGTCAATAACTGACTGGAAGACTTGTGGGTTATGTCTTGTGATTCTATGTAATGCCTGAAATAAAAACAAACATTTTTCTATTTGTATGAGCTACATAAATTATAACTTTAACCCTTACTTCACTAAATTTGTGTAATGAACTTAACTTGCTTTGAATTTGGCATGTCCATTGTAAAAATTAGGTAATTTCAATATCTAAATGTTTTGATAATGCATCCAATGGTATAAAATCTGGTCAGATTTCATGCAGACTGGTGGCATTTACACTGAAAGCAGCATGCCTCCAGATCCAAGCTAACTGTCATGAAAAAAATTTAAAACATATTAAAAAGTAAAACATTGTGAAGTGAACAAATATATCAATTTACCCATTGCAACCGTCACTTACAAAACATTTAAATGACCAAAAAATGGCTAAAATATGCAAAAATAGCCATTACTGCATTAGTAGCACAGTAGAGAATGGTGATCAATACTACAAAATTAGTCATTAATTTATTAGTGAAATGGTAAAAATGAGTAGGTGGACATCATGACAATTACCCTGGCCAAGTTTCAATATAATTGGTTAAGCAGGAAAAGAGAAGAAACACACACAGATGGACATGCCACCGACTTTGGATAAAGGGCCATTTCTTTTTGTTATTTTCTTTAGTTTAATACAGGGCCGTATGGTCCTTTCCTCTTCCCTATTTGGAAGTGCGGATAGACAACCAGACAGACAGACAGATGATGGAGAAGTCTTGAAGACGACACAAAAAAATAACAGAAAGAATAAAGTAAATTCCTTCATCTGCAAATAAGATGTTATGTATTTCTAGAATCAATGAAACCTTTAAAGTAATGAGTAATTTTATTAAGTTATTTGTGGAATATAAGTTATCTATCTTTCTTCCCTCAATGTCAAACCCCTCGCTGGGACACAGACATGACACTAGATTGCAGAGACAGCTTTAAGATAATTATAAGGGAGTCTGGGAACCAGTCTCTAGCTCTTATTGAATAGGCCCCTTAGTTCTTTTACATGCCCAGTGTAAAGCACTGATACATGCTAGGATTACCTGGATTTCTTACCAGTCCACCTTTAGGTAGGTGGGAAACACTGAAAGTGTCTCTGAAAAATCCCAAAGGTGTAATCCTGAATTGAACCCGGAACCTCAGGAGTGACAGTCAGTGGTCTAACCTTATTTGATTACTTTCTGTAAAAATAAGTAATTTAATTGTTAATTAAGTAATGTTAATAGAAATTTAATTACAATGTTATTACTTTATCTAGTAATTGGAACCATCCCTGGTAAAAATTTTAATATCAAACATCTAAAACATTTTTTTGGCAAATTTGATTTTCAGAAAATGTGATGAGAAAAATGCTATCTATAAAATGTGTTCTCCATCTATGTTATCTTTTTTCGCATTTTTCAATTGTTATCTACGCAGATAAACCTGATGTATTATCTGCTATTTTTATATGACCTGGGACATTCTAATTTAATATTGACAGTTTTTTTAGGGGTGAATTATGACTGTAAACAACTTTAGGTATAACTGTCAAATAATAACACAGATTTCTATACTTGTTTAATGAAATTAAGAAAATCTAAACTTTAATTACTCTAGTATATATGCTACAAGTTTATTTTATCATTTATTTTTCTTTTAACAAAAGTTTTACAAATCTCACCCTTTTCAAATTGGTATGCCTTCATTGTCGTCAGCATAAAAATTAGAATGCATGATAAATTTTGTTATCAACTCTAACCTCATTCACTTCAACAAATTGTGAAATAAACAGTGTCTGACATAAATTCTAAAAAAAAATAAAAAAAATAGGATAAATTCTGATGAAAATATTGTAGGTTTTTTTTAATATTGATAAAAATTGGACATACATTTTCATATTTAAATCTTCAGTTGATTCTCATTGAAAAAAAGACTGAAAAACATTAACAATGGGAAAAACATATAAAGGAAAAGGCAAGCAAAAGGCAGAAATTTTATCGAATACATTGTCATTAAAGAAGAAAAAGAAGCAGAAGAAAAATGAAATGAGAATAGTTCAATTAGAAATGGAAGGAAATCCTGAAAAAAATGCAGAAAAAAATGAAATGAACAGGATAATACGTGGCTCTGGAATGGAAGCAAAACCTGAAAAAAATTTAGACATTGTAAGAAGCGCTGAGGTGGCTCCACGGCCTAGAATTCAACGCCCAGCAGGGCCAGCACCACCCCCTCCTGATGCTCTTGATAACTAAGTTCATAACTAAGTTCATAACTATGATGATAACCAAGTTCATAACTTAGTTCATAACTACGGTGATAACCAAGTTCATAACTACGATGATAGCCAAGTTCATAACTAAGTTCATACCTATGATGATAACCAAGTTCATAACTAAGTTCATAACTACGATGATAACCTAGTTCATAACTACGATGACAACTAAGTTCATGACTACGATCATAACTATGATGATAATTAACTAAGTAAAAAAATCTTGACAACTGTAACTGGTGTGACATAGAATGACGTAATAAACATTTGATTCAAGGATACAACATATTAATTCTAATGGAGTGGATTGACATAATAATGAACATTAATTCCTAAGGATTACAGAAGCCAACAACTAGAATATACTTTTCAATGTATTTTTGCATTAATGATTATCATATATATGGTAATATATTAATCTTGTTTCATAGTTAAACAATACAAAAAAATTGTTACTTTTCAATGCAAATAAAAATGTTTTTCTAATTTTCTAATTTGACTGTTAATTGTCAAAACTTTTAAAAAAAAAATTTTTAAAAATGCTAGTGCTGACTTACATCATATACCGTAAATGTTGTTGCATGTGAACAAGAAATATCTTTATAAAAGATAATCAGCTTATATTCAGTACATGTTAAATGCCTTTTACATTCAGAATATTGTCAAAGCCAGAAAGAAATGAATAATTTATTTATACTAATTACTAATGATCTCAATGTTTAGGTGAAGTATAATTATAAAGTTACTAAAATACATGTATATAATTACATTTTTTGTAATCAATTATTTTTACCCTAACTGACCACCAAATGAGAAAACAAGAGGGCAGTGAAAGGCCTTAATCGCCCATCTGAGGATATGGTCTACATGAAAAAGATTTACTTTAATTACTGGGACATTCCTATAACATACTTTGTCCGGGATTGTCCCGGAAATCAGGTCACAGTCACTAAATATTGTAGAGGTGATTTATGCCCAGATAAAACCAGAAATCTGAAATACTCTCTTTTGCAGCAAGAACTATTACAATTTATGCCACCTTCATTTCAAGTTAATTTTGATCGTTCTATAACATTAATATCAGAACAGTTGTCTCAAGACAGTATAGCAATACAAAGGAAACGGTGACACTAAGCCTTTGATTGGTATAACTATGTGGCCTCTTCAAATTAACAATTTTTGGCACTTATTTAGATCAATTAAAAGCTTAATTGCTTCGGCAAGTCCCCAGATTCAAACAGTGACTTATTAGTCCTAACACTTAATATCCAAATATAAGAATAAAAAAAGTTCAGTTTATCAACAATAAAAAGAAAAATATCCAAAAAAAAAACAAAAAACGTAAAAACTTACAGAAAGAGCTGTTATCCTGAGAGCATCAAGCGTGGAATGTTTGAAGATATACCATAATGACTGGGCCATTTCTGTTGTCACCATTTTCTGTGCTATCTGTCCTTTGGTTGTAGCTACGTTCTCAACTATTTTGGCTGCTATATGATTAATTAAACTGTCTTCCTGCAAATAGAAGTTTGTAAGTTTTAAGAAATTGAAAATTTTACAATGTCTAAAGCTAAAACCTGGGAAATAACATAGAGCGACAAGCAATAACCTAGTAGATAGGACAACTTCTTATGTTGGCATCCAATTAACAGCCGATCAAGTAATAAGCAAGTGTTGTGTTTAAGTCTTATATTTATGTTTTTATTGTCAAAACATGCATTAATAATTTTTCATAAAATCATAAAATATCATTTAAATAGTAAAGGACTGTTAATATCTTATGACAGCTGGCTTACACATTTTGTATATCTCTTCCTTACACTGATTAGTAAGGACAAAAATATACCATTTTACAACCATCAATTAGACAAAAATGGGGCGTGTGAAAATGGTTGGATGAAAAGATAATGCTGCATCAACACTCCAGTTGCTTGTCCAATTATATTATGTCCCAGCTAAAATTTAGAATTTTTTAATATTTTTCTATTTCCGAAAATGAACTATCATATCTAACATATAGCGTTTTGGTTATATACAGTCGAGACTGTCATATGTGACTTTCCAAGGGATCTTGAGAAAAAGGTCACATATGACAGGGAGTCTCTTAATACAGTCTCATAGAAAATTAAAATTTAAATACCATCTATCTGTCTATAAATCATTGTGACTTAACATATATACTGTATAACTGTGTGAAGGAATAATATCTAACCAATTGCAAATACACATAGGTACTTTAAACATTTGATATAAATAAAATAAGAATCCCTGTAAAGCAAATATAATAGTATGTATATCATATAAAATTTAATTTTATTTTTTGTATTAGTTTAATATTGAATCATTATGGTACAAAATAAACTTGAATTTGATGCATTCAAATCCTTAAAATAAATATCATACTTTTAAAAACATATCCATATTAGTCTGGTATCAACATTTTTCCGTATTATCCATGCAGCCATAGAAAGGTAAAATAAAAAAAAATTCTGCCTAAAAAAATCTTCCGTTGGCACTCCATAATTTTTTTAAACACAAGTCTTAATCCAGTTTACTCAGTTCATTATGTTCATTTCACCTGTGACCTCAATTTGTTAACACACATCGATTGCATCAGACGCTACGGACACTCCAGACGCTACGTCACTTGACACCTGCATATATACATGTAATCAGAGGTGTGTAGAGTTTGTTTTAAGAGTACTGACTACTGGATTATAATTGGACTTAATTATTTTGTCTCTCTGGGTGTTAAAACAGGTATTATTTATCTGATTAACCGACAATTAAAAGGTGTGAAAGTCGTTTAAATCAGACAAAGCAATGCATAGGGACCAGATAATTAGGGTCGCTTGTCACATATGACAGGGAGTCGTTTAATTCAGACCATTTATATAGGAAAATACGTTGGGAGGACTGAAACAAGGTCGGATATGACAGGGAGTCGTTGAAATCAGGGGGTCGCTAAGGCAGTCTCGACTGTACATATATATACCCATATATTCCTTTATGTATTAATCAAATGAAATATTCATAAATATCATGATAAGAATCAGCTTCCTAAACTGGTGACGGTCAAAAACGTAATCAAGCAGGCTCCTAGCTACATAGAATACACAGGAAGTACTAAATCAAGAAATTCCCTCTAAAGGTCAATGAAAGTTCAAACTTACTTACCCCATCTCTACAGCTACGGCATATGACGGCAAATGTCATGGATGGAATGTTCCAGTTGTCAACACTAGTACCCTGTTGTTCTTCCTGCAGTTAATAATGTCATTGTTTATATACAATAAATATTGTCAAACTAGCATGGAGGACATATGTAAATGATTTTCTATACTTATGACCATGAGCGACTAGAGGTACTGCTAAAACACTGTAGTGAATTAAATTTAAGACTTTATACCTTTGGCAATTGTATGTGGAAACATATTTCCATTGTCAATTGTATGAAAAAACATATTTCCATTGTAAATTGTATGGAAAAAAATATGCCATTTTGCTCTTATTCAGTTTTGCAGTCACTCTGGCCAGGCTATATCTACAATTTTTGTAATAATTTACCTGTAAGGCAACAAGGTAGACAAGTTCACCGAGTGCAGGTAGAAGACCTTGTTTTATCCTGTTGTTTTTTACATTTTCCCTGAAAATTTCTGTGATCCCCGTCAATGCCTGCAAAATAATATTACAAAGTTATTCATCATTACAAATATATACACAATGACAACACATCTAAATAAGATATAATGAGAATTTAACATTGTACATATTAATTCATTGAACCCTTCGCCTGTTGGTGGCAACTGGTTTTACTCAACCAACCAGTGCAGACCAAGATCATGGTCTGCAAAGTTTGTTTGAACATTATTTATTCTCAAAAGCATATACAATGTACATATAAATAAACAACAAACAAAATATCTTTACATAGATCTAATGAAAAAGTATGAGAATGAAAAATAAGTCTGCACAGTTCACTAGTCTGTCAGTTCATATTTTAAAATTATCCCTAACACCATTGACAAATGGTATTGTCCATATTGAAAGAAGGAAAAGTCCATTTAAGATATTTAGCGAAGAAAAGGTTTTAGGATATTTAGCAAGAAATGGTTAATGATAGTAAATAGTTATTTCAAAGAATGTGATAATTCAAAGAGAAACGAAAACATACCTCTGAGATTTTTGTTGATTCATCTAAAGATTCTGTGTTACTGGCCATCACAGCTATTACTCTAGCAATCTTCACTCTCCTGAATTGAAGGAAGAAAATGTTATTTATAATGTTCTTTATGTTGATTTTTGCACTGATTTCAACACATTTTTGGACAAATCCACATATCTAAGTTTGCCAACCTAACTGGCTTTCCTTGATATTGGATGACTAACCAACAATTACATTTTACTCTGGAAGGGACAGCCTACTTTTCTGGACTTGATGCAACAAACATTATAATTTGAATATTATTACATGTATTTATATATGTATACACCTGTAAGTGTCTATAAAAAGTATTATTATCTATAAGATTGTATTTACATGCTTTATGCAATAATCTTTTCAAATGAATTGAATCTTAGCCTTTCCATAATTTATTTGTACAGCATAAATGACATTTAGCTGCTTCTTAATCTATTTTTAGATCAGGTTCAATAATCTATATTTAGAAGCAGGTTCTATAATCTATTTTTAGAAATTGGTCTTGTATAACTAAAACCACTTACACTTCTGCATGAGTAACTTCCTTCAGTTGTCTGGTTAAAACAATAGCAGCATTATTCCTCATAAGGTATGTTGACACCCCTGTATTACCACATAAGGCTATCAGATAATGATACAACTGTATACGTTTCTGGGAGGGCGGACCTTTCTCGGAAACGCTTATAGTGTCCAGAATTGTCCTCAAATGTCTGGTTTGGTCTTTCTCTGGCAGGCTGCCAAATTTCTCGGCAGATATTGGTGGTACTGGAAGTGTCTTGGCATCGTATTTAGCAGTGGCTGGCCTTTGAATCTAAACAAGAAAAAAAATTTCCTTGTATTATATCTTTAATATAGTTTATGTTAAAAGAAAATACTATAGTAAAAACATTCTTGAAATATCTTGGCCAATGATATATAATTACAGTCTGATTAACTGATAAATTTCAGAGGCAGTAGAGTTATAAATTGCACGAAAAGCATAAACCAAGATTTTTTTTTTCAAAATTTTTGCATGACAACAATTTCAACAACCATAACAACAACTACAAGGACAATGACAACGCTGTGATCATAATTGCTCAACTTTTTCATCAAAACAGATGAGCTGAAAATAAAACAAGATTGCATTTGTAAAAAATGCTATGCCACCGCATAAATACAACACTAAAATAGTAATGTAGGAACACATTTTTTTTGTTTTGACCCCAGGGCTTTAATTTGTTCAATCTTGCTAGAGGTTCACTACACAATGTTTCATGCAAAATATCTAACCTCTAGCCTTTGTCAATTTAGAGAAGATGATTTTTTAAGTTTTTACTATATACATATGAGGAAAACCTATGACCCCCGGGGCAGGGCTAATTTTGACACTAGAGGCAAAATTTGAACCACTTTGGTAGAGTACCTATAGATAATAACACATACCAAATATCAAACCTCTAAGCCTGGTACCTTCAGACAAGAAGGTATTTCAAGTTTTTACTATATGTACATATAGTGAAAATCAATGACCCCCGGGGCGGGGCCGATTTGGACCCCAGGGCTATAATTTGAACAATCTTGGTAGAGGTCTACCAGACAATGCCTTATGCAAAATATCTAAGCTCTAGGCCTTTTGGGTCTTTACAAGAAGATTTTTTAAATTTATTCTTATAATTCCTTTTGGTTGCCATGGCAACCAGAATTCTGCATGGAATGAAATTCTTTGAACAATTTTGGAAGGCCTTCACCCAAGGATCAATCCTGCCAAGTTTGGTTGAAATTGGACTAGTGGTTTTTCGCAAGAAGATTTTTTAAGTTCACTATATAATCTATATAACACACACACACACACACAAACAAACACACACACAGGTGAATCGCTATATGCCACCGCATCGCAGATGCTGCGGTGGCATAAAAACATTTCCCTACTTTTAAAACTTATTTCATTACAGAGTGGGTTTTATTTTTCACACATTGTCAAAATATCAAAATTAAATTTTTACCTTGGGATTATCTATTATGGATGAGATGGCAAAATCTGTTGGGTGATAAATCAAATCAAGTATTTCATTTTTAGTCTGTGACAACTCAGCTGTGTCTTTTCCTGTACCAAGTGGCTCCCTTGTGGACAGGGGTGAATGTTGCTGTCTATAAGGGGAGTTAACTCTTAGACTATCATCTGGGGGCACTGCAGTGTGAGGTCTAGCGCTGAAAAGTAATGACTTTTGATATTATTATTTTCACAATCTGTTAAGAGCAAACAAATGCAAAAGAATAAATGTACACACCAGTTTTTTTTAAAAAGCTTAGTTTTCATGAACTAAGAATCAAGATATACTGCAATTATAAAAGTTATGAATGTAAACTGACCTCAGGGTGAAAAGACTAGCACCACCGTCATCTGTGGGCGCTGTTTTTGGACGCAGAAAATCACCACCAGATGTACCTGAAAGTATAACTTGATCTTGAGTTCACTGTCCACTATGACATGGCTATATTTGATATAGGTGTTGATAAGTGAACACATGTTTTTAAAGCTGAAAATATATCTGTTAAGTAATAAAGAAGATAGTATTGAAAACAACGTTTACACAAAATTTCAAAAGTGAGATAATTATTAAATCAGAGTTACAAACCATGTCATTTTATGTTCATATTTCAATGGTGGAAAACCCATACTATGCATGTAGTAAGTTTGGTTATATAAAAATTGCTGATTTGATTAGGCAGATGAGTAAATCCTCTCATCTGTTAACTAGCTGTATAGCTCACTTGCATGAAAGAATTTAGAATCCCTAGCAGAATTTAATCCAAAGTGACAAGGGATTAACAATGTCTCCAAGCATGATTGTAATAATAAAATTCATTACTTTTGTGTTATACATGTATATGTCATTACCTGGTCTAGACGGTGAATCATTCTCTTGAACATTTGTCATGGGTCTGTCGGTCAATTCAACAGTCTTAACTTTACCCAGCACTGACCCTGTACCATCAACAAATACACTGCTTCTAGCTGTTGTTGCCATACTGCCCTGTTATGATAAAAGAGAAAAAAATTATCAGTTAAAATCATATACAACCTCTGCAGACAGATTGTTCTTGAGAGGTGTTGCTCTAAAAGAATGTTAAATTTATTGCAAAGTCTGTGGGGAAGGAAAGGAAAAAACTGAAACTGTTATTGTAAAGAGAGAAATATTCTACAAATGACCACGCTGTAGAAGTTACATGGTAATTTCCTATCTTATATTATAACATGCGTTTGATCTAGCATTAAATCTATGGACTGGTATTTAAAGCGTGTCCTGAATTTGTTTAGCTATAAATTCAAATCAATGTTAGATTAGATTTTTAGACAGATATTTTCAATTTTAAAACTATAATCATACAATGTATTTCAACTTAGTGTTAAAATGTTTAACATCTCTTCTCTTATGCTCTATTTAAGTTATTTTGAAATCCCTGTCTTTACGACTTGGTTGTCCAATTTCAAAACCAGACAAATCTATTGCACAAATACAACATAGATAAGACTAATCATAATGCTGAACTTAACTTCTTAAATTTTCAAGTTATACATTATTGTGATAAATTGCGGTTGTTAAAACACAGAAATATAAAAGAAATACCTGTACATCTTGGGACATGACCAAGTCTTTAGCAAGTTTTAAAAGTTTCCCTTCAAAGAATGGATGTGTGACTAACCCTGGCCAGCCAAGTCTGTTGAAAAAATATATAACATATCATATACATGTTTTTATCACACATCCATGACTCCGAAAAAACATGATTTCAATTGTTTATATTATGATGTGATGTTATTTGCATTTCCCAAACATGAAAGCATAAAGACATGCTAAATATTAGTGTTACACTTTATGCATGTCAATGAAAAAGTGTGAACAGTTCTTATTTTGGGTATGTGATAAATACAATATTATATTCATGTAGATTCAATATTAAATTTATTGAACTTGTTGAATAAAGCAATACATGCATTATGCTTGCCAGATGCTTGCATAATATGGTTTTATTCAACTTGTTAAATAACTTTAGTATTGAACCCTAAATCATTTAATATTCTTTAAATATTACATATATGATTAACTATTTCAGGTACATAAGGCTTTAGAAATGATTATCTTTTCTTTATTTTTTAGACAGTGCAAACACAGAAAGCCAAATGTAAACAAAGAGGTATTTTGACTTCCATACAAAGCATGAAGAGATATATTACACAGCTTTGCTCGGCATAGTTTTATTTTCAAGTTTTGTTTGTTTGTTTCATTTTACGCCTTTTTCCAACAGTATTTCAGTCATATAGGCAGGTAGTTTCCTAACCATCATTCCTGGAGAGTTACATCAGTACTAGACTACCTTCCTCCGCGCTAAACTACCAAAGCATCTCCCGGGGATCGAACCCACGCCAGAGAGGTAACTGGATTAGAAGTCTTTGACTCTAACCCCTTGACCACAGAGGCAGTTTTATTTTCAAGTAAAGGATTCAAGTAAAGTAAATTGATTCAACAAAATTAATTTAGAACTCAAAGCTTTGCTTACAATTATACTGTCCTCGTAAAAGCAATCAAACAAACTTAATCTAGAAAAACATTAACTCTGCAAACTTTGTTACTCAAATGACAACCTGAATTAATGGTAATAGAAGAAAAATTCACCCAACCCTTCCTTATTTCAGCACAGGTTTTACTAAAACTTGGGTTTAGCATCTGACTTTATAGAGATAAAGGGACAAGTAGTTCTAAACAATAATCTGAACCACACAAATAAATACTTGAATATTGGTGAAGGTACGACAATAAAGAAATTCTTTTTAAAATACCTTTTATCTGGATCTTTCTGAAGAAGTCCATCGATCAAACTCAAAAAGTCATGTGATGGTTTGGATGAAAATCTTGTTCCTGAAATTATAATTTTTTGATATATTACTCTGATACTCTGAAAAACTGCTGGCCAACGTAAAATTTCTCCAACTATTATTATCAAATGTCAAGTTATCATTATTGTATGTCCTTGAAAATTTAGCATGTGCCATAATCGTCTCACTGGGTGCCTGTATAACCCACTGACCACCCCACACCCGCAACTCCCCATTCGAAATTTGTTGAACTATATTTAGGGGCGAAGCAATATATCTTGTGTTATATGCTTTACTAACATCATATCTGATATTATATTTCATATCAATTTCATTATATATAACATTGTATAAAACGTACCTTTCACTTTTGGTGGTGCGTAGCCTTTGTTCACTATTTTATCTACAAGCTGTGGGTATGACTCTGCTAAAAATGGAGGATGACCTGTGAAGAGCTCATACAGTACACAGCCTAATGACCAGAGATCACTAAGCAATGTGAGTTCTCCCCCTTGCAACACTTCAGGTGCAATATAATGTGTATGCCCTGAAATAATTCATCACATTTAATTTTACAATATACAATAAATCTGTCACTGCCAACAACTAAGAATTTATAAAAATTATAGCAGCCACTTAATTTGCAAACAGGAAGTCTATTTTTAACATTTCATGTCTGAAATAGTGAGATCGATTATGAGTCCAAATAAAGCAGTCTGTGAAAATTTATTGCTGACTCTAAAGTGAAGATAATTTTGATCAACTATTGTGTCCAACTCCTAGAACTAACCAGTATTGGTATGGTATAGAAAATGTAATCTTCAACATGCTTTTTTTCTATAAACATTGGTTCGCGTGTTACTGGAACCACAATCAAGTTTGCTCATACAACGAACACATTTCATCCAAGACTTGAAAGTGATCGGTTAATATAAATGTAAACCCTTACCCCCAATTAATATCTTAAATGGACTTAGCCATCTTTTAATCTGGATACGACCATTCATGATTTTTATGTAAAATTTCAAAATATGCACTGACTGAATAGTGGACAGTATAGGCACAGATCTTGGTCTGCATTGGTTGCATTGGTAGATAAAGTCAGCATCAGCTGGCTAAAGGCTACAGAACTTTTTTCACTGTCAAAAGTAGTAATTTTTTTAACCTACCAGCTGTCCTTGACCTCCTATCATCAAGCTGAGATTCTGTGGCCCACGTCTCGCCAGCATCAGAGAATTTTTGGAACAATTCCTCAAGGTTTTCACCTTCAACTTTAGCAAGACCAAAATCTGCATACTTCAGAATCCCAGGTCCATCAAGTAAAATCTGAAAACAGAAAAAAAACTTTATTTGTGTTTATATCTTTTCATAGTTTAATAAATACATGGGTATTATCCTGATGGTCATTGTTTGACCAAAACTGGTAGATGAATAAAGCATCCTAAACCTACTCTGGTGTTCTTGGTGTGTTGTTCCACATCCTTTCCTTGTTAACTTAATTAAATACATGTTGATTTAACTGTGAAATTGGTCGATAACAAACATGTAATGGCAATATTCAAATCACTATATTGTAAGAAACATATGTAATAATTTCATGCATAAAAATTTACAGAAGGTAAAGCATATCAATCCTAACAAGTCACAGTTTAGGCATGTAAACTTGACTTTGGTCTGAGTTAACTTGTAATCAAATTTACCGGATAATAATTGAAAACTGCTTAATCTATGACTAGATGTATGTTCAGAGTGTTCCCCATTAAAACGTTACTATACCAAAATACACGTTATATTGGTGATTGACTGGTCAATAAATCCATAATCTGCAAAAAGAGAACCAGCTTTACAGCAACATCTTCGATATTTGATATTGAAATCCCTATGACAGTTTCGAATCCAAAGCAGGACTAAATCACTACACTTTAACTGATTACAGATAAAACCTTCTATTTTCACTAATATTACAGAATAACCAAGTATACTTAAAGCCCAAGTACACACATGCTTAGAAACATACCTGTACTTGAATGATTTTCAATGATCTTTACAACTTACAATGATTACTGATCAAATCTGAGCTTCTTTTACATCAAACAATCATTCTATTTAGTTCAGTTTAGTTAGCAATCCTTAGATAATCATTCTTTTTATGTTATTTTATTCATCTGTAATAAGAATAATAATAATAACAACATACCTTTGAAGGTCTCAGATCACAGAACAGAATGCCTAGTGAGTGGATATAATGTAATCCTGTCACAAGATCTATCCCGAAGTTTCTGACAGAGCTTTCTGGAAGATTTTTATCTTGTGAGATCAGATATTCTAAACTACCACCGGTACAAAGTTCGACGACCAACCAGAGGTGATTACTGGTCTCATACCATTCGTAGAACTTGACTACATTGATATGTTGTATGTCATGAGTCATTCTCACCTGAAATAAAGTCACTTCTATTTCTGTTGGTTGGGTTATTTTAAAGTTAATAAAAATGTATTTCAGTTTGATCATGTCAGAAGCTATTAAGGCTCTTTAATCTGTTCTATGAACCAACCAGTACTATACCTACCAGTACTATACACTGAGCTCATGGATTTTGAGTAACACCAACATTATAAAGACTATATAGCAACTTCCCAGGTTCACTGTAAAAGAAGACAGACCTCCAGTGATTCTCCAAATATTGGCCAGAACAAGCACCTTGGTAGAACCAGTGACCTTCTGTAAGCTACCTTTGTAGCTTCCTCTGACATATAAAAGAATCCATGGTCGGATTTTAACCCAAAGCAGTGAGTATAAAAGAAAATGAGACAATTGAACATTAAATAGTTATAAAATATTAAGGTAACCTAAGGTAATTTTTTGATTCAGTAACACTTAAGCATTACCAAAGACTGTCCAGCCCTACATGCAAAAGAAGGCATCAGAGTGACCTACTTTTTATCAAGCAATGATTAAGCATTATTATTATGCAGGCATCTAAGTAGAAATATCAAACTTCTCCAAGCTACACTTGTAACTGTATTGCTTCCTCTTATAAAGAAAGAACAATATTTTGCCTGCAAGGTTTGAACAGCAGGTAAAAAAAGATTCTTAGTCAACAACCCTTATCTTTTAAACATGAAGATACCAGTTATCTTTAAAAAAAGTCATTTCAGATGTAACTGAAATTAAGTCATTCCAAATAAAATTTCCTTGAGCATAACAGATTCAAATAATTCATCTGAAATTAAAGTTTGTAAAAACAAAAGAGAGAGAGAAATAGAATAGACTTCCTAACTTAACACTTACTGTATTTGTAACCTCTGGACGCTTGCATTTCTCTATGCAATGTATTGCTACAAAATTTATTGTCCCTTTTCTACGACCTTTATATATGATAGAATGATCTCCTCTTCCTAGCTCTTCATACAGAACAAAGTTTTCCATTTTTCTCTCTATTTCTCAGCTGCAAAAAAGACAATCATTAGTAAAGCTTGACATCATATTTATAAAATAAAACTCCAGTGAGTCATCATTTAAGAATTAAAGAATCAAATACTTATAGTACTTATAGTACTTATACTGCAGCTTTTTTTTCTCTTCTTTGGGAATGGTGCTGGTACCAGACTGATTGGGAAAAATGCGCTATTTTTACTTAAATTGGGAATTTTTTTTTAATGCATTTTTTTTCAGCTACAAATAAGATAAGTCATCATGAATTAAGATAGGTAACAGCTGCCACTGTCCAGGTAGAACTATTGAGTGATGATTTATATGGATATGTTGGATTTAAATGATTTCAGAGAAATCACTTGGCCTTTTGGAAATTTTTAACAGCCATTTTGGGAATTTAAACATTGGAAATTTTAATGTCTATATACTATTGGGAACAGTACCGTTTTAGGGTAGTAATTAGAAAAAAAACACTGTACTGCATGGAATAAAAGTTTGTGATCATTAAATCTACATAATATATAGCATACTCAATATTTTTTTTCCTCAAAATCAAGTGAACAATTGTTTCAAGAACAGTTTAATATTAATCGTTGTAATATTATATTACATCTTGCAAAAGTATATTTGTCACGCAGATATGCGAACTATACATCAATACAGACACATGTATGTTGTGTCAAAGTGTGTAAAAAGCATGTAAAGCTTGATCAGGACTTAAACATGTAACTCTCGGAGGTCCATTTTAAAGCTCTTCTGACTTAGCTTGTAACCCAGCTATCATTAGATATCAATATGATATGTTTTATATATGTAAGGACCACCTAATTTTACAAGCAGCTGGTCCGTTAGACCATTTTGATTTTCTGGTTGGTTCAAGAATTGCAATTTAGTCGAAACATATCTCTGTTTTTTAATAATCGAAACACATATCAGTTTTTTCAGTTGTAAAATGATGTATCTCTGTCACCAGTCTTAAGCGTATTTTACTGAAGTTTTTTTATTATTTTGAGCTACCTAAATTTCAAATGCAGCCCTCTGGCTTACCACCTGTTAAAAAAAATGTCGAGTCCTGACTGATAAACATTCACACAGTAATTACAAATACCATTTTAGAGTTTGTAGACATGCATGACATGCCTCATGGATTGATGGAAATTCAAGTTCAATCTATAAATTTTGATTTTTTTTTGTGAATGATGAATTTGTAATTTCTCGTGACAGATAACAAAAATCTTCACAATAGATCTATTTCTAAATTATACGAAAGGATTTTAGCTAACCCTTTTTATTCATTCATTTGCTTGAAGGTGATTTTACGAGCCAAAAAAGAAATATTCTAATTCCTCTCAATTGTTTACATGTATCTTGGTTTTTCTTTCAGATACTTTGATTGGCTATTAGCTGAGAAAAATGCTAGTTTATATCCAATCAAAAATAATTTTGTAAACCTAATACTATTAATTGAAGCCAAAGTATTAAAATTAACCTAAATGACATTATTGAAAGCAAAATAAATTACTACAGAAATCGGAAGAAAATCAAAGGGTAACACACGTTTGAATCCGAAATATTTTTAATGTAAATGTTTGATTTTATTGTCTCTTTTAATAAGTGATTGATATTAAAGATGAAATTTTAAATCCATGACGCACTAGGTTTATTAATATAAAACAGGGTTTTTCAAATAGACTTATAAATATTTGAAAGACCCTGTGTAAAAAAATGATTGCAAAACGTTTCTGTTAGTCACCATTATCTTGCATTGTCTCCGGTAAAAGTTATTTTCTGAAAAAGATAGTAATAAAAAAAAATTGGGCGGAATAAACTTGAGGTCGCTTTGAGGTGTGAGTTAACTTGTTATCAAATTTACCGTAAAAATATGTATAATTTAAAAATACTTAATTCATGACTAGAGGTATATTCAGAGTGTTCCCCATGAAAACGTTACTATACCAAAATACATGTACGATTGGTGACTGGTGCCACTGGTTGACAATTAGCTTACTCTGAACCTATTTTATCATACCATTTGTGTCATTGATAAGATAACAATTAACCATTTGTACCAACTGTGAATTAATGGTACCAACAACCAAATGATCTTGCTTCTAAATTTCATTCTTATTTTTACCCAGTTGTTATTGTTAATTCTTATTTAATAATTTTATCAAATGTAACAGACATACATTTTGTTGCCACTGCGCATTAAATGCTAATTTCGCTTTATTATAATAAACATAACCTTAAAGTTTTTAAAATAATATGAAGACAGTTAAACAAACTGTTAGTTAATATTAAAGTTCACCAGATTCATTTATAATTAAAGTCACTGAGGGCACTAAAATACCGTCAGACGCTAACATTTATATTTGATACAGCTGGACAGTACATATTATTTACAACTACAATTTGCACTATATAATAATGCACAGTTTATCGTTCAAATGTTTTTAATTAACAAACAAACAAGCACAAACTTGCTCAGTGTCTAAATATTATTTTCCTAACTAAGTCTCTTATTCACTAGGAAAAAATCTGCTTTTGATCCTAATTGATGAAACTAAAATTGATTCCCTCGTATTGGTCTAATAATGTATCAAAGTAAGTAACTATTTTAGGATCAAGATCACAGATAATACTGCGACTACAACAAAACAAAAACATAATACGCGGTGTGTTCAAATATAAATCTATCTAGAACGTAATTTTGTTCAATTTGCGGAAAACACGAGGGAGTGAAGGTTATCACGTAGATATACACGTTAGCATTACATTGATAGCAATTCATTAAAATCCGTTCATTTTATCTGTGTTTATACCTCGCTATATATTGTTTACTCGTATACTGTACGAAATACAAAAATGGTTGGTAGAAGATCAGTGTATCATTGAAATGCAGTCTTATACATGTATAAAGAATCGTTTTTGATGAAATCTGTTCTGAATATGGACAAAATGAAATGTTTATTTTTCGTCAGTTATTTGTTGGTTTAATAAATTCAAGTGTGGGTGAATTTCGACTGAAGATGCACCCCATAACCGTCTGTCTAAAACAGCAACGTCTGCCAAGATGGTTGAAAGAAATAGTTAACACAAATGCAAGATTCACCACTAAGCAAATAGCTAGTTTCGTTGGCATCTCATTTGAAGCATCTCATACCATCCTTAAACGTGATTTGAAAGTGAGAAAGATCTGTGCTAGATGGATTTCACATTAGCTGATAGATGAGCAGAAAAAGGACCGCGTGATATGCTAAGTTGTACTTTAAATGAAGACCCACAACAGATAAGACTAATGTCTAATCCTGGTTGACGATGCGTCATCGCACACAGGCGGTTATGGTGCAATACTTTCTGAAACCCCAAAAAGTCATTGTTTCCCTCATCCTCCGTATTTACCTTGTGACATTATTTTTATTTCCAAAACTAAAAAATACTTTTCAGGTCGTCTTTTTTCAGCGCAAACATCTCGGTTCTGCAATATTCTAGTGTCTACATAGTATACTTAAAAATACTATGAAAATGTCTTCAAAATAAGATCTGGAGACTGAAACTTTGTTTATCTGTTAAAGGTGAATACTTTGAGGGAACAAAATAAAAAAAATCAATGAATCCTATGAAAAATCACATTTTACGTGCTTACATGAATTCATATTTGAACACTCCTCGTGACGAAGAGCACAAAAATTTACTTTATATAAACTACTATCATATTCATATTGTTCTCTTGAAAGTTAACATAGATGTTAAGCTATATAAAAGAGGATACTAAAATACTATTATTTATACAGCTAAAAAGATTTAATAATATAGAATAATTAGTATTATAAATTAATTAATACAATGATACAAAGTGATCTGTGGTTACAAGAATAGAACTTTAAGCTCGGGGGCCTATTCCCATTGAAGTCCAATGAACCAGAAAGGAACAAGATGTAACCAGCAAAACTTGTTTAAATATGGAAAAAATATTCTAAAATAATTTAACTTCGAATGATGTTAGGATTTCTAAATAAAATCATTAAAAATGTTCAAAAATTTGAAGTGTAAAATACCCTCACTAGTTTCTGAGGCTTGACAATTATTACATGCTATATTATCACAGAAGGTTTACATAATCACAGAAAATAGGAAAAAGAATTTAAGTTGATTAAGAAGAATTTTAAATATATGAGGATAAGTTATTGAGAATATTTTATTTTTATCGTGTCCAAAAATATCAGTGAGCACTATTGGAGTCATTTTTTCGCGAATTTAGCTTCATTTCGTAAATTAATATCTGTACAATAGTTATCTCCCTTTGCTTGAAAAGCGGAAGTTGACCATCTCTGCCAGAGAAAATATTTGCGATTTTTTCTGGCCAAATTAACCGTATTTTAAGCCGTTACATGCGTAAATGGTATTGTTTTAATATTTTTATGAACTAATTGCTTGCTTAACACATGCAGTTTGACGGTTAAATTGTTGCCAAAAATTTAAGACGGGAACAAATTAACGTGACTAACGTTTCTCAAGAAATTTACATGATTTACAAGTTCTTTCGATTTGTTTCCTCACAAATAGCTTAAGGTCTTCAGCGTACCCGTTTATATATATGACATGACGTGAACGCTGAAGATAACCCCGTAGTGAAAGTCCACCAATAATCGTGCCAGGAATCTGACACGCTCGAATTTATTTATCGAACATGCCACGAAGTAAAGTGAAGCATACCTTGATAAAACGATATATAATCTGTTGATAAGCCAAGGATGGACAAATAAAAATCTTATTAGGAACATAAACTACCTAATAGTTTCCGACAGGTAAAAATTTCGGCACTTGGCCGCCATATTGCCAAAATGTTTGACCACGTGATTACGAGATTGACCTTTATGAACCCATGTGCCTCCAATATTTTTATAGATTCCTTTTTTTAAGATGTTGAAAAAGGTTATTTACTGACTGTTATATTCAATATAATCATATTTAAATACTAAAAAAATTATGACAATAAATAAAAACATTATCTTGAATAAAAATATCGAAATCATGTCAACAAAATATTCTAAATATAGTACACAACTCTATTCAAATCTGTTCCCGCGAATGACGTCATACCAGGTCTCGCGTGGCACTTGAATGCCATGGCCGACTGTAGTCGGCGAAAGTTGATGTTTTACAATTAAATAGGCAATTTTAATGACGGTATTGATATTTTATTACTTGAATTGGTATAGAACGATATTTAAATAATTGTTTTACCGTAAAATGCACAAGAATTGATCGGGTCAAGTGTATTTGCAAGTGAAAAATAAAAATAAATCAACTTATGTTATTCTGGTTAGGTTTCGTAACGGGTCTAATCCAAAACTTTAATGCCGCATCTGGTGAAAAACAAAAATGTTAAAAAGCGGCTTATAAAGTTTTGGAAGCCAGAACTACCTCACAAATAAAGTTAAAGTAACATGAGGTATTGGAAATTTTAAGGTTTTTATAAGTAGTATTGGTGAAAACTGAAATTATTTAAAAGCCCATAGCAGGTTTCACAAGATTTTCCTGAGAAACTAATGCTCAAATCAACATATTCATTTAAATCAAAGTTGTAAAATACACTGATTGACAGTTCCTGAACTAGCAGACAACAGGCTTTTCTTATATAGTAGAATTGCTAGAAAAGATAACTGGTTGCGTATCTCACTGTATAAAACATATGTAATATGGTCTGACATGTAGTAGGTTTAACCGTAAATTTAAATACCTTTAGTGTCAAACAATGTATTGAAATATATACCAGGGCTCATTCTGGGGGGAAATTTTAGGGAGAAGTGACGACCTCGCGAAAATTAGGGAGAAGGGAAACAACCCAATGTGTATGCATTAACCCAGCAAACAAAAGACGTTGTACCAACGTTGTACTGACGTTAGACCCTGACGTTGGGTAAACGTTGGCAGAAGGTTGGATTTGAAAGTTTTTTAGACGTCAGAATCCGACGTCTATACAACGTCATAAAATGACCCTTATCTAACCATAATCCAACCTTTTCTGACCATTATTTGGACATAATCCAACCTTTTGTGACCAATATCTGACCATAATCCAACCTTTTCTGACCATTATCTGACCATAATCCAACCTTTTCTGACCATTATCTGACCATAATCCAACCTTATCTGACCATGATTTAACCTCATTTCAAACTTTTTGGAATATGATTTTTTTTCATTTTAAGCTCATTAGTAGGGTAAACAAATAAGCATTCTTATAATTTTAACAATTTATTTTCAATACGAATCTCATGTACAAAACAATAAATGTGGTACTTTAACAAATGTAACATTAACATAATGTATTTTGAAACTATTAAACTTGACAGTATGTACGTAAATAACGCTTCATGTATTAAATAATTATGTTTTAGATATACAAAATTCTTCATAAACATTAACACTGACATTTTTTATGGTTAACATTCATGCATGTTTTTCTTATATCACCAAGGCTTATTTCCGACTGAACCGATCACCCTGATGTTGGGATTTTCCAATCATCTATCCAACTCACTGATTGTATATTTTTCTTTGTACTTTTTATCTGAATGTTAAATGGAACAATATTGTGAATATTTTGATATTACTACAAATAGCAATGTTCATATATCTTAATTAGCATTCTTCTTTCGTCCACCTCCACTATGGCGATCTGGGTTTAAGCATATCATAATCTAAACCTTTACCGTCTCCAACCTGAGATATCATCATTCACACTATCTGAAATTTAAAAATAAATCAAATAATCACTTACAATTGCAAGAAATAAATCACTTTTACATATTACAATTAAATGAAATTCTGACAAAACAAACTCTCCATCTACTTTAACAAAATAGGCTTATTTTTATTTACTTTAGTTTAAACCATGTAGTTTCATGTACCTATATATCCATTGATTTTAATAAAAATGGCTTCGTTATCAATGTAATATTTTGAAATATACCTGTCACAAAATCTTGTATGTTTTTAGCTCGACTTTTCTATGAAAAGGGGAGCTATCCTACTCGCCCCGGCGTCGGCGTTAGCGTTAGCGTTGGCGTCACACCTTGGTTAAGTTTTTCGTACCACCCCACTTTATTTCAGAAGTATTACAAGTATGGCTTTGAAACTTACCATACTTGTTCACCATCATAACCTCCATCTACAGACAAGAGTACATAACTCTGTCAAGGTTTTTGACAGAATTATGGCCCTTTTTTGACTTAGAAAGTGTATTGAGCTTGGTTAAGTTTTTTGTACCACCTCACTTTATTTCAAAACCATTGGAGGTATTGCTTTGAAACTGACCATACTTGTTTACCATCACGACCTTCATCAACAGACAAGAGGACATAACTCTGTCAAGGTTTTTGACAGAATTATGCCCCTTTTTGACTTAGAAAATACATTGAATATGGGTAAAATCCACTTATTGCCTTAACCCTTTGAGATATTGCTTTGAAACTTTTAATGCTATTTCACATCATTACCCCCATCTGTACGCAAGAGAAGGTAACTCTGTCAAGGATTTGTTTTTAAAAATTAAGGCCTTTTATCGACTTAGAATCTTGGTTAAGTTTTTTGTACCACCTCACTTTATTTCAAAACCATTGGAGGTATTGCTTTGAAACTGACCATACTTGTTTACCATCACGACCTTCATCAACAGACAAGAGGACATAACTCTGTCAAGGTTTTTGACAGAATTATGCCCCTTTTTGACTTAGAAAATACATTGAATATGGGTAAAATCCACTTATTGCCTTAACCCTTTGAGATATTGCTTTGAAACTTTTAATGCTATTTCACATCATTACCCCCATCTGTACGCAAGAGAAGGTAACTCTGTCAAGGATTTGTTTTAAAAATTAAGGCCTTTTATCGACTTAGAATCTTGGTTAAGTTTTTAGTACCAGTCCACTTTTTGACTGAACTGTTTGAGATATTAATTTGAAAGTTGGAATACTTGTTTACAATCATGATTCCCAAACATGTCCAGGAGAAGGTAATTCTGTCAAAGATTTTATTTGAATTATGGCCCTTAACTGTCAATGTTTTGTATTATAGGCAAGCACTAAAAAAGTCGAGCGCGCTGTCTTACGGACAGCTCTTGTTCTTAATAATTTCATCTTCCTCCTCTGAACTTTTGACAGTTGTTGAATTATCATAATTTTCACAATCTCTGATATTCACTGAAAGACAAAACAATATTATGATTATCTAAGCAGGTTTACGAAAACAACCTGATAAAATGTTCAATTAATTATTTTCATTAAGTATGACCTGAAAATTAAGTCAGAAATTACGATTTTTGCCTGCGCAAAATTTAATATGAAAATGATATTTTTTATATTTACAAATGTATTATAATTTATACGAATGCTACAACATCAAAGAAATTCACATGTTACTGTCATTTTTAGCTCGACTTTTCTATGAAAAGGGGAGCTATCCTACTCGCCCCGGCGTCGGCGTTGGCGTCACACCTTGGTTAAGTTTTTCGTACCACCCCACTTTATTTCAGAAGTATTACAAGTATGGCTTTGAAACTTACCATACTTGTTCACCATCATAACCTCCATCTACAGACAAGAGTACATAACTCTGTCAAGGTTTTTGACAGAATTATGGCCCTTTTTTGACTTAGAAAGTGTATTGAGCTTGGTTAAGTTTTTTGTACCACCTCACTTTATTTCAAAACCATTGGAGGTATTGCTTTGAAACTGACCATACTTGTTTACCATCACGACCTTCATCAACAGACAAGAGGACATAACTCTGTCAAGGTTTTTGACAGAATTATGCCCCTTTTTGACTTAGAAAATACATTGAATATGGGTAAAATCCACTTATTGCCTTAACCCTTTGAGATATTGCTTTGAAACTTTTAATGCTATTTCACATCATTACCCCCATCTGTACGCAAGAGAAGGTAACTCTGTCAAGGATTTGTTTTAAAAATTAAGGCCTTTTATCGACTTAGAATCTTGGTTAAGTTTTTAGTACCAGTCCACTTTTTGACTGAACTGTTTGAGATATTAATTTGAAAGTTGGAATACTTGTTTACAATCATGATTCCCAAACATGTCCAGGAGAAGGTAATTCTGTCAAAGATTTTATTTGAATTATGGCCCTTAACTGTCAATGTTTTGTATTATAGGCAAGCACTAAAAAACTTAAAAAATCTAAAAAAATTCATTCCTATCCACTGAACCTGCAGTGTTCAAGGGTATCACACAATTCAGTAAAATAATTCTTCACTAAATATCTTAATGCTCATGGCCATTGTTCACTTTAAAAATACAGAGATTCTTGTATTGCCTTTTACTGCAAAAACTTTTTTTATTGGCAAGCAATAAAAAAGTCGAGCGCGCTGTCTTACGGACA